CGTTTCAGTTTTTAAACGCAGGCCACAGCCTCACAGAAATATCATCACGCCGGCTCTCCCTCGCTAATTACTGCCTTCAGTACCCTTCACTGGCTCTGCTCGCTCGCTCTGGACAGATCCGCAGTCTTCACAGACAAAAACACTCTTTACATCAACACACATTAGTGTTGTGTCTGGAAAGTGGGGCCGTTTTGGGTGATACGCGGAAATGTAGATTTATGGACGGGTCATTTCCATTATGTGGATCCTTTTGAACTCTGTGACTTTTAAAACCCATTCTGTTATAATTTAAGATTTTATGTAATAGAGCATAGCAGACTTCAAGTTTATTGATTATAATTTGGTTAAAGACTATAACAACAGATTATAAAGGGAGAGAAAAAGTTACATGAGGATGTCAACTTTGATTTTAAATGTTAAATTGTTAATCCTCTTTTCTTTCTTTTGGTAAGATATCTTTCAGTTTCTTGTTATTGTATAGCACTTAAGAAGATTGATTTAACATTATCAACCTGATTTCAGTCATTTAACCAAACATGATGGATAGTAATTCCACGAAACATCACAGAATCTATCAAATCCATTGCCAATAATGGCTTTTGTTAAAGAGATTTTACTAAAAACTAACATAATGAAAGCTATATTAGGAACACTGTGAAAATTGAAACGCCTTAAAACAATATTCCTAAGAAATATGTTTTGTTTCAAATAATTTTGATTGTAGAAAATATATAACAAAATCCACTCCAACCAAGTAGTGAAATTATTCAGTGATATCACACCTTCACTCATTGTGTTAATACAAACTAATAGGATTTTTATCTTAAAAAAAAAAATCTGTTTAATATTTTATCTAAAGCCAAATTAGGACTGACCCACATCACACATTTGGTCACATCGTGTGGGAATGTGTGTGTTTGTGTGTCGTCAGCTGAACGAGGACACATGCAAAGGTTCATAACAAATAAACAGTCAACAAATTGTGCCGTTTGAGCCCACCTCCCACACACAGCCTGGCACGACGCCCGCCTGACTCACCCATCTAATGACAGACTATTACAATAAAGTGTGTTGAATCACCGAAACAAAAACGCAGCCTTCAGATGGCAAATATAAAACAGCCCGACTCGGAGCCACATGAGATCTCAGCTTATCATCATATTAGAGTGAATTCTGAAGGATCATGTGACACTGAAGACTGGAGTAATGATGCTGTAAATACAGCTTTGATCTCTGGAATAAATGACATTTTACAATATATTCACATAGAAAACAGCTATTTTAAATTGTAACATAGGTACTTATTTCAACTTAATATGAACTGTCCTCTAATTGCATCATTCTGGTCTTCGGTTGTCCAGGAAATTGAAAAATCGTGCCATTGGATCCTAGATTGGGCATTCTTGGAATAAGGAAACAAAAATAATATCCATAATGTTGTATGCTGCTCGTCTTCATGTCTGGATTAAAGTATACTCTTCTACTTTAAATATTTGGCGTGAAAAACTTACCATACGAAAGACGGCATAATGTTCTGGAAGGAATTCTGGATATTTTTGTAAATGATTGGTCTCCCCTTAAAGAGTATTTTGGACATGAATGGCAAACAATGACATGTATTAATATGGATTGAAACCAAGAAATGTACTTTTTTTGGATTCCCATTCGACATTTATGTGTGATACCTGTGTATAGATGAAGAAATTGATAATGTCGATGTAGTAGACATGTAATTATTATTTATTTGCTATTATTTTATTTTCATTTATTTATTTATTTTTCTCTTTTTTCTTGTGGTAAGAGGGAAAAGATGTGAAAATAAACAGTTTAAAAATAAATAAATTGTAATAATATTTCACAATTTTAACTGAATTTTAATTAAGTAAATGCAGCCTTGGTCAGTCTTTTTTTTAAAAAAAATTCTGAAATGTGTCACATGGTTTTCAGTGGCGGCGCTGTAATTTTTACAATAAATGTGCAAAAAAAAAAGATCATTTTTTACATCGCACAAAAACTTGTTGACTTTTTATAACCAATCTATGTATTTTCCATGCTGCCATCCTTATTAAATAAAACTAAAAATACTATAGTACTTGAAATATGCCATATTGAAATGCATGTACAATGGTTTTATAAGCTACAGTATGCAGAATCTGATTTGACCAGATCAACATCTTTATTGATCCTAGAACAACATTCCAATCAACCAATCAGATTTGAGGGACACGTTTACAGTTTGTGTCAAGTTTAGGCTTATAACCAGGGTTTGGCCCTTTTACATCAGTGCTATTCCCTCTGATTTTATGGATAGGTTATAGTTCAAACAAGATGTTCAACAAAATATGTTGATCCAGAAGCACGTCTTATTGGCAAAATCAGCGGATTTCCAAGAACTACCACAACATGTGCAGAATAACATGATAGTACTATGAATCTTTCTGGTATTTTTTATGTTGTGTTATTGCCTATAGTGTTCAACAAAAATACCATGGTATTACCATCTGATACTACATTGTCGTTACAGTACTTTTTTTGGGAGGGACAGTTATTGTTACTGCTGTAAAATCATAATACACAACTATGGCATCTCTTTTTCTCCTTTATAATTAGAAACTATGGTTGCATATTAAGTGTTATCAAGCAGCTCCCATAGAGGAAAACAGGTCATGCTGAATAACAACCAGAGCAACAAACTTAAACTAGGAAAACTGTCTGGTATTTGGCATAATGGAGTCTCTCAGGAGGAATCGTAGATTTTGAGGTGATTTCACAGATCGGGGGACAGTGTGTGTCGAGGGTTGCGTTGGTGACAGGCTGTCCAGGGCGGGCGAGAGATGGAGTGATGGAGGGGATGGAGGAAGAGACTGCAGTCTGCAGGAAGATGGATCACACCAGGAAGATTAATTAGTCTCTGACAGCGACAGCTAAAGTGTTATTGCCATCTGGAGAGTGAGGAACTTCAGGAGACTTCTGAGTGTCAGTGTGTGTGTGTGTGTGTGTAAGACTTGAGCTTGGCAGTGCTGTTATTGATGAAAACAGTTCTCGCCAAAATGGCAAAGCGACTGAAAGGTGTCGAAGAAGGACATCACATGCGATGACCTTCACAAACAAAGTGATAATTGTGTGTGTGCGTGTGGACATGTGTTTTTGGCATGTAGAGGGAGGTGACTTTGCAGTTGTCTTTTTAAAATCTTCTCAGAATATATAATAGTTCATAAAATGGCACCCAACAACAGCACCATCGATGGTAAAAATGACACTAAAACAAAGTAGCCTACTCACTTGTCACACACTCTTCAAGCGACTGCACTAACAAAATCAACGACAGCACATGGAGTTCAATACAACTCATTAAATAACATTTTCATATATGATTTGTGCCATGTGAATTTATTTCTTCTCTTCAAATTAAAGAAGTATATTTTCTAGACACATAGCTCAAATGCCATTTTACCAAGGGCTGCAAAACCATGTGTGTTTTCCTGATTGTGCACAAGAGGGCGACAGTGAGAGAGCTGAGGACGACAGAAGAGACGTATGACCACTAGGGGGCATCAGAAAACAAAGAAAAAGATTGATGATTGTCTGAATTGATGAGCTTTTATATATTTAAAACCATTGAATGCCCTTTATGTATGACAAATACCTTAGTTTTGTGTTACAATGGTTTAGTCATGGTCTCAGGTCGAATACACTGGAGAGACTGACAAATTACTTACAAAACAAGTGAAAATACAATAGGACTCTCATGATTTATAGTTCTCATGATTTAATACTACAGTACTCTCATGGTTTATTACTATATAGTACTCATGATTTAATACTATAGTATTCTCATGATTTAATACTATATACTTTCATTATTTAATACTATAGTACTCTCATGATTTAATACTATATACTCTCATGATTTATAGTTCTCATGATTTAATGCTATATATATACTTTCATTGTTTAATACTATAGTTCTCATGATTTAATTATATACTCTCATGATTTAATACTATATACTCTCATGATTTTATATACAGTAGTACTCTCATGATTTAATACTATAGTTCTCATGATTTAAAACTATAATACTCTCATGATTTAATACTATATATGCTCATGATTTAATACTATAGTTATCATGATTTAATATAGTACTCTCTCATGATTTAATATTATACTCTCTTCATTTAATAATATAGTTCTCATGATTTAATACTATATACTACAGTACTCTCATGACTTAAAATAGTACTCTCATGATTTAATACTATATACTCTCATGATTTAATACTATATACTCTCATGATTTAATACTATAGTACTCTCATGTTTAATACTAGGCCTATAGTACTCTTATGATTTAACACTAAAGTACTGTCATGATTTAATACTATAGTACTCTCATGATTTAATACTAGGCCTATAGTACTCTCATGATTTAATACTATAGTTCTCATGATTTAATATAGTACTCTCATGATTTAATATAAGCCCCTCATGATTTAATTCTACAGTACTCTCATGATTTACAGTATATATCAAAACAATATATTACTTTTTAGTAAGAGAATGAATACAGTGACACCAAAAAAGAGCCATGGTACTTTTGCAATATTGTTATTTAGTTAGCCTGCCTGTTTGATCATAAAACGGCAATGCATATATATTTTTAATAATTAACATGGCAATAGCAAACTGTTCTCTTTTTATATTAGGTAGCCTACGATATCATAACAGGTCATTTATAGATAAACAGGCCTAAATAGGCTATTATTTGTTGACAATATTTTAAAAGCTTCAACACACATAAAAAACATTAAAATAAAAACTTTAATAAGGAGATAAGATACAACAGAATAGAATATCTCAACCATTCAACGATATAATATTAACCATTCATCCATGATAGCTATTCTCCTTGAAACTCAAATTCCCACAATCCCCTGTTGCCACGTGCGCGTGTCCTGTCAGCAAACCGGACTAAACGTCACATTCCTGCATTCTCATCCCTGCGAGAGTGTGTGTGTGTGTGGATGTGTGAGTGTGTGGGAGAGAGAGGGACGCAGGCTAATCTCTCCTTCCAGGACACCTCTCTGTCCACGGGAAGCACCCATGACCGGGCGGGTTTAACCGCGGAGGACCCCGACCGCAGACCTCGGGTGAGTGTTTGCGTGTGTTTGTGCGCAGATGTGAAGGTCTCGCCGGTTTGGCGTGTCTTACTGTGTTTACTGTGGCGCAGAGTGTAGTAACAGCGCGCGACCGGATGGAACGTCTCTGATACACTGTAACACTTCACACTCTTTGTGATCCTCAACTTTGCATCTTCTTGTTGATAAACTGCATGTGTTTGAGATCTGGCGGCAGCGGTGCTTGATCACGGGCATGTCGGGTTGAACCTGTTGACGACTCTGATTCTTTTGTTCAACGTGTGTGTTTTTGTTTTTATTGCGGCTCTTTAGCAAGCCTCACGTCATAATAGGGCACTGATTTCAATCCATAAAGGCGCAAATTCTATGTTCCTGGGAGAATAGACTGTCAGATGTGTTCGTGTTGAGTGATTAATGTGATGTGTTGGTCTATATAAATATCAGCATGATCATGAGATGTTGTGTTCCTGCTGGCCGGTTCAGGACAGTATTACCGGTGTCATATCGTATCGATCCCCGGTGGTTACATCAGACGCGGGCAAGGCCACAAACACACGCAGTGTATGCAGTTAAAGAAGCCCGATCTTCCCTCGTCATCCTCAGTGACACACAGCTGGCCTGCATGCACACGATATAAACCTAGCTTCTCCAACTGCTTCAGTACTGCAACAAATCAACCCCTTAATATGCATTTGAAATATTTGTTTATTATTTGCCTTTGCATTATTGCTAAGTTGTTTTGTGATCTGTTGTATCTGTGAAATGGTTGCAGATTTATTTTTTGTTTCGGAATGCCTAAGCTTGATTAAAATATGATGAGTTTCTCACTTTTACAAAATAATTACAAAATAATTTCTCACTATTACTAAATAAATAAATGAATGTTATATAAAGAATAATTCATACTGATAAAATAACTACAAAAAGTTACTTTACCTGTGTGCTTAATAATGCTGCTGTTGGGCGTTGATCTGAACATCATAATGCTAATTTAGCTTAAGCTGGCTATGATTTATCAGATCCTGGATTCTGTCTGATTCAGCATATGGAGTCTAGTCATGATTATTGTTCTCAATATGCTTTATAATCATAGGGATATATATATATATATATTTCCCTAAGCGTGAAATGCTGTCAGTTTTAAATATAGAGGGAAACACTTGAAAGGTTATGTCCAGTCTTCCAAATCACTCTGAATTTCTCAATATATGGAGGTATGTGTGTGTGTAGAGTGCGAGAGAGAGAGAGAGATGTCTATACAGGCACATGTCAGTCTGAGAGCATCATATTCTAATGCTCTTCATTAAAACTGTTAAACGAGTCATTAAGTTAAAGTATTAAAGTGCCGTTTGACTGTATAGAGAAGCTACAAACTTGGATTCAGTGTGATCACTGTTGTGTGTGTGTTTTCAGATGATGATGATGGACTGTCAGATCTGATAAGGGATCTTGAATGATCCACAAAAGCAATGTATCTGTGAGATGAAGAAAATAAAATGAGCTGTAATTTTTTTGGAAGAAATGCATGTTATTTTTGCTGAAACATGGTAATTGTTGTGACTTTGTATAAGAAGAATATTCAGATAAATTAATATGGCTGTATCTCTGCCTCATCGTGCTCTGAAATGTCATTTATTTCTCTGGATTGTTAACATTGTACTTTCTGAGCATTTGGCTCTAAACATTTATTTACATTAAAGATTACTCAGATATTGAGAGACATTTTAAGTTCATCAATATTTAGGTTTGCTATTGTTTGACTCTAAAAAGATAGTAAGATATTTGACAGATAAGTCGTGATGGGGGATTATGTATAGTACACATAACATCAGAATAGACAACATTTCACTTTGTTGTATAAACCTATTCCTTGACAAAAAGGCCTCTGTTTGTGTCACAGAACAGTGCTGATAGGGCTGTTTTCAGCCCCCCATTATTGATTATCCAATCCCTGCTGCGCTCATCACGAACTACGATTCTGATTGGTTCAGTCTGACACAGTCTGTGCTTTTCATTGGTCGTTTGCTGTTGGAATGTGCTCACTTCCTGCTTCTTCAGCCAATCAGAACTGCTGGATCTCTTCACATTCAATTGGGGATTCAGATCACATCATGAGTGTATGAGAGAGGTACTGGTAGAGACATTGGTGTGTGTGGGATCAGTATTCGAGTGCTGCGTGTGCTGTTGTCTGTAAATTGAGTTTTGTGGGCCTGTTGTTTCATGTCTTGCATGTTCTCATATTATTGTGCTTGTTTCATTTCAAGTCCATTTTAAATCGGATATATTATTGATTGAAAGGGTGTTATTCTGAATCTGTATGTCCTGCTATAATGGAAATATTTCGCTAATTAACTTGATTGATAATTGTTAAATGACAAACTAAATGTCTTGCTGTATATTTTATTGTTTATGCTTCATTGGTAATGTAGTTTTAAAGCTCTTGCCTGGAAACGTGTAACACAATCATGTGTTGCTGACCACCGTAACCTTGAGAGCAGAAATGAATGCATTGTTGTGGTTATACAGTACAGAGAGCTTGGCATTATCCGTTTTAAAAGCTTTTGTTTGGAGCAGAAATGATGAGTTGAGTTCAACAGAAGTTTAATAGTTAGTTTGGGACTATGATGGAATGATTAGGCCAATTATTCAGCTGGTATTGGCCAATTTATGAAGATTTGCATTCAATAAGGCCTTGAAACCACTGATTTGTAGATAAGAGCAGAGATTAAATCCAATCTGTTGAGTGTGAATAAATCATTGGTTGTGGGTGTAAAATATTAAGCTGGTGTGTTGATTTCTGTTTGGGTTGTTTTGAACTTTAAAGACGAAAAGAGTGTACAGGGATTATTTGTTGTATTTTGAGTGAAAGTTTGGTTTTGTTCTAGCTGAGGTTTTGTTTTAGAACAGAACAATGGATCTATTGTTTCTCTGGTGAGCTTCAGTTGTACACCACTATTATTTCAACCAATAAATCCCTTTCCCGGGGCTTCCTAAGCCTCTGTTCTTACCTTTCCGAAACCTAAAACTAAAAGTACCACAATTTTAATCATACATAAAAAGTGTTATAACCAATATATTTGTAATTAGTTACTTTCCACCTCTGGTTGACAAACACCCCGTTCATAATCACTTCTTATTACATGTATGGGAAGATGTTTGGTGAGTGTCACATTCCCAAATGCACGTTATGAGGGACTCAAGCGCAGAACAGATGTTCATGTGGAGCAGCGTTTACTACGAACCGAGACACTGAAACACTGGATCCGCTTCACTCGGAATCACACGGTGCATATATTTGACTTATTTATATTGCAGTTTTTATGATTTGATACTTTGGTTTTATTCTGATTAATTAATTATTCCCACCACCGAAAACCTGGTTATGGAAGCCAGATGTGCAGACTTTAAACACCGTCTGTGTGTACAGCTTTTGATCAATAAATCAGGCCATTGATCAGACATAGTTGATCCATATGTGTTTTGTGATAATAATTGGATGAGAAGCAACCACTCACACACAGAGACACACACACACACACACACACACACACACACAGACAGGCAGATGCACATACAAACAGAGACAGGCAGACACACACACACATACACACACACACACATACACACACAGGGCCTGCTGACATCCTGGTGCTGATGTTGATGTGACTGAAAGGTTTCGTCTTGACATCCAGCTGACATCATCATGTCTGTCAATCACATTTCTAGCCTTTGTGATGTCAGGAGATCTAGAACACACACACACACACACTCAGACTTCGAACGACCCCAAACCTGCAAGACGAGCAGTTTAAAGCCTCTGTTATGAAATGCTGATCAGCTGTTAGTTGATGAGTTTGGGTTCAATCTTTAGATGAAAGTGAACTGTTTAAAGCTGAAGTGTGTGATGTTAAAATACTTCCTCATAGCCAACCTTAATGTGTGTGTAGAGACAACTTTAAGAAGTGAACCTGTCTTTTTGCTGTTTTGTTTAGTGACAATAGTGGTGCAGATTTGTGCTGTTGAGGCTGTTCAAGGGGGTGAATAACCATTAAAAGTTGCATTTTCAATGTGAATTTGGAGAAACTAACTAGCCTATGTGTTGAGCTTTTTTTTAATAACTTTTGTTTGATTTGTTCATGGCAAAAAAAAAACTCGGTCTTAAAATATGCCAATAAACTAATGATTTGCAATGAGGGTTGAATAATTTCGAACAACTAGTTAGTAAACAGTAGTTTCACAGATCAAGTATAAAGTTTACAATATTGTCTGTCTCTGTTCATCATTGTGATTATCATATTTTCTTGTTCAAAATAATATTTTGATCAGTTACAAATGCTGAATGCTTTGTCTTTCTGTTAAATATCAACTCGGGTCTAGACAAACTCGCACGCTTCACACACATTCCTCAAGTGTTTGTGAAAGTTAAATTGGTTTTCAAACAGAATTAGATTGCATTGACTTTGCTGACGGGATTGATTGTTGTTTGGTTTCAGTAGATCCTGATATCATCACAGTGAAGGTCAGGAATGCGATGATATTTATCAAAAAACAGCACCTCGGCGTCAGTCGTCACATGGCCAGAGGAGGACGAGGTTGAACACAGTGAGAGGGTTAGCATGTAGCAGAGATGCTAATATGATGTCAGGAATAATGTGCACATGTCTGTCCACATTCAGTGCGAATGAAGTCTCTTCTGCTCACCGAGACTGCATTTATTTTATTAGATCAAATATTGTGAAATGTTATTGCATTTTTAATGAACTGTTTTCTATGTAAATATATCTTAAAGCTGTATTTTCAGCATCATTACTCCAGTCTTCAGTGTCACATGATCCTTCAGAAAGGATCATGCTCAAGAAACTTGTTGGAAATATGTTGTTGTGCTGCTTCATAATTTTGTGGAAACTGTGACACATTTTATTCAGGATTCTTTAATGAATAGAAATGTCAAAATAACAGCCTTTATTTGAAATGGATTTGTTTGTTATACATTTCTTTACTGTCATTTTTGA